CCGGGGCATACATAGCTAATACATCCGGCATATCACAAGAGCATGCGAAACAAAATTGCAATAATTTAAAAGTTGCAAAAATTGAAAAGTGACAAAGCAAACCGACCCAGTCGGCATATGTATATATAAAAAAATAAATTTGTTCAAATGTTAGCCAAACCCCTGTCCGGAGAAGGTGATACAAGAAATACACGGCACGCTGGCCGGAAAAGTTGAATAATATAAAAGCTTAAGGCTGAGCCGGGTCCTTGGAGGCGGTCTCCAAGGCGGGAAGGGGGGCGATCTCTCCTTGCTCTTCAATTTGGGCCTCATCCCCTTCGTCTGAGCCGATCCCCGCCTGCATGGACTCGATCTCTTTCTTGGCCCACTCTTCATAAGGCTCCGGAGCCAGCTGATTCGACTCTTGGGCCTCAATAGCAAAATCGACATATTTGTAGGCAAGTTCCCAGACGGCATATTCCGTTTCCGGATGCACCAGGGACCAAGCCAATTGCATTCGGTTGGCGCAATCTTGCTCATTCTCTTTAATGAGCCGGCTCTGTTCTGCTTCCAGGGTGGTTTGGAAGTTCTGACTGGCTGAAGCCGCCTCTTTCTTCAGGCGGACGTTTTCAGCCAGCAGCGAAGAATTCTCCTTCCTGGTTCGTTTCAGGAGTTTGAGAGAATCCGACGCCTTCTTCACCTCCGCCTCAACATTTTCCTTCTCCGCCTGGAGATTGTGAATCTTGGTGTTGGCTTCATTGAGGGATTTCTAAAGAGCATTGGACGCATCTCGTTTAGCCCGTCTTACCTCCTCACTCTTGCAGGCATAAGCTCTCTTGAGCCCCTCCACGCGAAGCATTGACTGCAAAGGCCCAAGCGGTGTTAAAAGGGGTCAGACGGCATAATAACTTGAAAATATTCAGTTGAAAGAATTCAAACCTCAGTCAGGCCGGCCATGACCCGGTCGGCATTAAAGATGTTGATCCTTGGGATCGCCTCCTTCTCCTCTTTGGGGATGGCCTTCAGCATGGCCCGGGCATACTGCTGTAATCCGGCCAGCGAGAGGAGAGATCTGCACTAGAAAAAGATGGTAAGAAGGCAACATACTTCCCCCCCTATTGACTGCCGGCTGCCAGAAGAGTCTTCTGGCTGGAGCTGGGAGTGCGACTTGACCCGCATGGGCTTGCCAAGCAAAGAAGGGTTGAAGGGATCTATTGTACCTTGTGATATTGGGTGAGAGTCATGATTGCCCTCAGCCGGTACCGAGGCGCCGGACGCCCTAGGCGGCGCTGCCCCCTTGGTTGCCTCCGGGACATCCGGCTGCCTAGAAGAAAGATCGAATCCCAGGCCAATGTTTTTGACAGATTTTCCCCCAACCGTCAGCCGGCTGGGAACCGTCTGGGAGGAAGTCTTCCTCGCCTTATTTTGAGTGGCCGACTCCTCCCCCGGCCGGGGCCTGATTAGCTTGGTAAGGGAGCGGGGCGCCTTGCTCCCATCCTGAAAAAGCAAACGCACAAAAGGTCAGCCGGCAAGAAGTCAAGCGGAAGTTAAACAAGAGAAAAGGGAGGAAAAGTATACCTTATCTTTTGCCGCCTGGGCGGCTAGTTTCTTCTCCACATTTGCTTTGCGGATGTCAGCGGCGGACTTGGCCGGTGTTTTATCAGCAGGCAACATTGCCAAAGCTCGCACTGCAAAAAAGAACCCATCCGGTTAGAGGAAAGTTAAGAAAGCATAAAGTATGTACAAACGGCAAAACAAGATCAAGCAATAGCGCGACCTACGTTTCTTGAACTGAGTGCTGAGCTTACAGGCGGACAAGAACGCCTCATCACGAAGGAATTCGTTCTTTGGTACCCAATTCTTGGGTACGCATATTAGTTCACCATTAGAAAGGGTGGTTGTGGTCTGTTCAAAAAACCCCGCCTCAATTATTCTCTCGTAGTCCCCATCCGGGATTCGAGGTTTTTTACACTTGTGATCTAGGAGGTCTGGCTTCCGATTGTATGTCCTATACTCCCGGTTTTCCTCCTTGGTGTGAGCAGAAACAAGATAAAATCGATTCTTCCAGTCTGACCAATTGGACAGTTTGTCCAGGGTCATCAGGTACTAGGGGTAAGTGGTCAGTGTATACCAGGCTCTCCACCCGCCTGTGCTTCTGCTCAAATAGTGCATGTGGGCAAAGGCCTCCCAACCGGGGTTAATGTTCTGCATTTTGCAGGCGGAGATATAGCCTAAGATGTTAACCCATGAATTAAGGGTTAACTGCCAAATACCCAGATCATACCCTCGAAGAATGGCCTTGATGGTGTTATGTAAAGGGAAGCGGAGATCGGCTAGAAACGCGGCCTCGTAGCAGCCGAAATACCCGTTTGAATTCGGCTGATCATCTTCCCAGACTATAGTGCCCATCTCAGGCGGCACGATGATTTTCCAATCTGCTCCAAGAGGACGTATTTTGATGAAATCCTCTAAGTTTCTGGCCATGCTGGCCCTATCTTTGGCAGAGACGGCAATAAGTAGGGGATCGCCCTTATTATCCCATGTGGGCCTCTCCTCCTCCTCGTTATCTACATCCGGCGTAAGAAGGCTGCTGCTGCTGCTGCTGTTTTGCTCTGAGCCGGATGAAGAGGCAGTCTCTCCACTATCGCCTTCTAAGGGGTTTTCCATTTCAACCTTAGAAGGAGAGGCGACATCTTCACCGCCTTCCTGATCTAACCCTAGTATTCCATCAATGGGAGTGCTGGGGGTGCCATGCAGGGATCCCCTTGTCATCTCAGCCTGATTAGAGTCAGGCGACAATCCTTCAAAGGTTTCCCCTCTATATTCTAGATCAACGACTATTTTCCTAGTTCGAGCCATTGCGTCCTGCACAGAGACAGAGACGGTCGGTTTCGGAGATGAACAAGGAGAGTCCCAATACCCAAAGGCAGCACCCCCGGTCCTAGACTCAGCCGTACCAGGAGACCGGCTAACCTCTAAATCGTGGCGTGCCGTGTGTGTGTTGGGTGAACCCATTATTCTAACAATATATACAGCCAGGAAAATTTAAAAACCTCCAAAAAGCAAGGAACCAAGACGTTACCTTGTAGTTGTAAGAAGAGGTTGACGAAAGAAGTTGGTGATTGTTGACCAAAGATACCCCAGACAGTGTCACTTTAAACGAACAGCACATTGGCAAAAGAAAGCAAGATTAATTACCAATGTTGTTCAAAGATACCACAGGCGGAAGAAACCAGCTGTGGTAGTACTGAAATTGTACAGAATAAGTGGTCTGAAGTTTTCATGAAAAGTTGCCCACAGACCCCCCAGGCGGTGCAATACCGGCTGAGGGTTATTATAGGCAACTTATGAAGAAAATTGTACGGAACTACTACAGACGGCGGTAAAATACCGGCTGTGCATCTGTTAAAACAAAATAATCAAGAGACTGTTTACGGAAACCCCAGACGGTATGAGACCGGCTGAGGTGTCAGCGAAGCAGTTTAGTAGAAAGAAATTGCTCATATACCCCAGTCGGTGTGAGACCAGCTAAGAGGACAGCAAAGCAATTCAAAAGAAAAAGCAATTTCCCGAAGAATTTTATTGAAGATACCCCAGACGGTGTAAACCGGCTGAGGGTCTATTGAATGCAACTCACAATGAGATTGCTTGAAGATACCCCAGACGATGTAAACTGGCTGAGGGTCTATTGAATGCAACTCACAATGAGATTGCTTGAAGATACCCCAGATGGTGTAAACCGGCTGAGGGTCTATTAAATGCAACTCACAATGAGATTGCTTGAAGACACCCCAGACTGTATTAACCGGCTAAGGGTCTATTGGATGCAATGCATCATGAGATTGCTTGAAGAAGCTCCAGACGGCATAAGACCGGCTGCAGCTTTATCAAAAATCAAGATGAAGAAACCGACAAGGTCAGAACGATACTTTAGCGAGACGGGCAAAGAAATACTCGACCGGTATCCGGATGTAGTGAAGTTGAAGGTTGTTTGCAAGAAAGAGCAGCCGAGATCAGGAATTCTCTTTTTCTCTCAATGAATTCTCTCTCTGAATATTGGCAAAGTGAGGAATGAGAGGAGGGAGGTTCCTATTTATAGGAAATCCCAGAAGGCGAACTGTCACCTTCCCCCCCTCTAGTTTCAAATTCAAAAAATGGAGGGAAGGAGGCGAACCGTCGCCCTCCCGCATGGTGACAAGTGTCACAGGTGCCTCGTGGCAAGCCACGTCACACCCGTGAGGGGCAAATGTTTGGGGTTAAAATTACCCCTGCCACAAGGCCCAATGAGGGCCTGACACGTGTCACCCTCATACAAGCCCAAAGGGATCCAATCAGAGGATGCCACGTGGCATTGAACCCCCAATGGGGGAGCAGATTCTCATCTGCTATAAATAGAGGAATCATCCTCATTTATTGCATATTCATAAATACACACACAAATCCCAAGCAATATTAATTGCGGAATCTCCCTGAATCAGAGAGAAATACCCATCTACTTTTCGCACGTTTACTCATTCGGAATCATACTAACTTGATCTTTGGAGGCGGAACTCCACTCAACCGGAGTTTCGCGGTTTTGCAGGTACAGAAGTCTGGCGCGCATACTCAATATTGTAACTCTCCCGAGGGACTCCAAAAACACACGAAACAATAATGGGTTAAACTTTTTATGAGATACATTTATCATTAAACGAATAAATAGTACTAGTTAAAAAAAAAAACAAAAGGTGAATATATAGTACCATTAGATAGTGTAATGATATTATAATTCCTTATAATGGCATACATATGTAATGATATTTTTCTAGTAGTACACATGAGAGTTTTATGAGTTAAGAATTCAATGATATTATGTGATATCTGAAAGTACCGTTAAGGCTCCTATGATATTATACCGTATACGATGTTTCTAAATGCTTGTACAACATGGGTATGTAACCAGAATCATTTAAGTACAAGCTAAGCTTGGCCTAGTGAAAAGGATTACACTTTCTAACCTTGAGATTGGGGTTCAATTCCCACCAGAGACACTCTTAGGATAGAGATCGCTTATCCTTTTCCCCTCACTCTAAAAAAAATTAGAATGATCCAATTTTTTTAAAAAAATATTGATAAAAAAAAAGTTGAATTATTGTAATATTAAATTTAAAGCAAAATGTGTATTTGTGTAGGACGAAAGACCACGTGTAAAAAGGGGCAAATCGGCCGTCAAATTGTTTATCTCTGTCAAAGCCGCCGCCTCCTCCATTCTCTCTCTCTCTCTTCCACCTCCGCCCACCTTCTTCCTCCATTCTCTCCTTTTTCTCTCTCTTCTTTCTCTCTCCTCTTCTCTTCTTCATGAATCCCAGTCGTACAGCCGTTTCTGGCCCCACCTTCCCAACAACACCCACATAAAAAAAATCCCCTAAAAAAAATGACACAAATTACAGCACACTCTGTAGTTTATGCTGTGTGATTCGCACTTTTTAGCATACTCAACTCCAGAATAAAAATACCCACAAATTTTATTTATTATTCTTTGCAGAATTTGATTGAGCTTTCGACTTTTCTCTCTTTCTTCGCAATCTTCGATCCAATCGGTAATTTCCACTCTTTTGATTTTCAATCATAGTTATGTATATGTCATGATCATCATTTGTTTGTTTTGTGAAACGGGTCCCCACTAATTTTCTGTTTTTTGTTCGAACTTAATTAGGTGATTGTTTTGACCAATTGGGTGGTTTTGATTTATTGGTATTTTCGCAATTTTTACTGGGTATTTCTTTGAATTAGGGATTTTGCTGAATTTTATATTATTTTTCTGGGTTTTTTCCCCTCTTTTTTTGTTTATTTCTTTGTTTGCTGTTCTTGTTCATTTGTCTCTGTTCTAGCTTGATTATGTTATTAATTTGAACATTTGGGTTCTTTTTTTCATGCTTAAAGTTAGGATCTTTAGTGTTTTAGACTGATTGGTTTATATGGTAAATGGTATGATTTCTGGGTTTAATTGAATTTATTATTCATTTATAGGGTTTGTTTTGGTTTGGATGAATTTATAAGTAATTGGGGTTTTGGATTTTAATTTGTTTTGCAGAGGGATTGGTTTTAGTGGTGGTTTGTTGGAGTTTTAAGTCTGTCATAATGTTGGAAGGTATTTCAATTCCTTTTTCAAGAGACTTGCCTATTGCTTTAGAGCAAGAGTGTGACTGGATGTTTGATGGATTTAGTTTAATGGAAACCTCAAATTATAAGCGAAAATCGGAAGATGGGGATGATTGTAAACTTGGGAACTCAATTAAGCTGTTGAAAATCAGTAAGACGGGAGAAATGGAAGTCGATTTTTTAAACCTTTCCCTTTCTTTAGTTGTAAGTCCGTCTGATAGCATCGACAATGGTGGGGATATGTCTGATACTAGTTCCCTCATTCACCAAATTGGAAGGGACAACTCAATTGATAGTATAGCTCGCTGCTCTAGGTCTGACTATGGGTCTATTGCTTTGGTGAATCGTAGCTTTCGTTCTCTGATTGAGGGCAAAGAACTGTACAAGTTAAGGCAGCAAATAGGGATTGAAGAACATTGGATTTACTTCTCTTGCAGCCTGCTTGAGTGGGAGGTATTTGATCCCATTCGGCTTAGATGGAAGCACTTGCCAATTATGCCTTCCAATGACTGCTTCATGCATTCTGACAAGGAGTCATTGGCTGTTGGTACTGAGCTTTTGGTCTTTGGAAAGGGTATAACATCTCATCTCATATACAAATATAGCCTTTTGACGAATTCATGGTCTGTAGGCATGGAGATGAACACACCTAGGTGTTTATTTGGTTCTGGTTCACTGGGTGATATTGCCATTGTAGCTGGTGGCTGTGACTTTTCGAGGAATGTATTTTCCTCGGCCGAACTATACAACTCAGATACTGGAATGTGGGAAACTCTCCCAAGCATGAATAAAGCTAGAAAAAAATGCTCTGCAGTCTTTATGGATGGGAAGTTTTATGTGATTGGGGGACTTGGGGCCGGAAATTCAAATCCTTTGACTTGTGGTGAGGTTTATGATCTGGAGAGACGGACTTGGACCTTGATACCAGATATGTTTCCTTTGAGGAATGTTGAGCCAGGTGCCCCTGAGGCATCTGCTATGTCAGAGGCAGGGGCACCCCCTCTTATTGCAGTTGTGAATAACGAGCTTTATGCAGCTGATTATGCTAGAAAAGAAATTAGAAAATACATTAAAAGCTCGAACTCGTGGGCTACTGTTGGAAGTTTGCCTGAGAGGGTAGTCTCGATGCATGGATGGGGTCTAGCATTTCGAGGTTGTGGTGATAAGCTAATTGTTGTAGGTGGGCCTAGGGGTTTGGAAGGAGGCTACATCGAGGTGAATTCTTGGGCGCCCTCTGAAAGCCCACAACAGTGGACTGTGCTCGGTAGAAAGCCTGGGGGGTTCGTGTACAACTGTGCCATAATGGGATGCTAATAAGATTATAGGATGCACCACATTGGTGCTCTATGATTAAGATTGCCAAATGCCGAACACCTTGAAAGTTTTCTTTTGCTATAAAGGTTCTTGCCATTCTGCATGGAGTTTCAATTTGTACCAATTGCATATTCATCTTTCAGCATCACCGGAGGCTATGTTGAGCATTAGTCTCATGCTGAACAGATATGGATCAATAACTTGAAGCAGTGAGCCAATTTAGTCTGGTATCAATTTAGTAGAAAGTTATTGTTCTTAAATTGAGGGGTTCCTTTCACTTTCCTTCTCTTCGTCGGCATCTGACTGTTTACTATTTTATAAAACTTCAGTTTAGCTTGACTATGCTTTGCTTCTCATCAATTTTTAATTGATATTCATTGGTCTCTTGAAGCTATAGCTTGACTATGTTTTCTCTGCTCATTAATTGTTGATTATACATTGATCACCTAGCCATGAAGTTAGGTGTCCTCGATTTTTATGATTGTTCTGTTTTTCAGTTTCTTCTTAATGAATGATCTAGCAATGGCTGAAAAAGCATCTTCGACTAGTTTATTCATTGGATCAGTATTTGTGGTGGAAATGGAGAACTTGTGAGTAGATCTGGTATGATCTTATCATGTATTGAGAATGTGATCGCATTTTTTGTTGCTTTTATCATCACTTTGTGTGTATGTGTTTGAATTTGTAATTACTTGTTAGAGAACAGTGTAAACTGCACATCATTGTTTGGATGTCTTTTGCCAAGACTTTTGCTGGAATTGACTGTGATAGAAATCAAACTAGTTTCAGAATCCATTTGAGCAGCCTGCTGTTAGCTTTCTAACTCAACCAAACCAACTGACATTGCTTCATATGTTGGCTATCCTGCTTGTGCTATTATCAATTGCGATGAAATCAGTTGGACGCTCTTTGAAAAGAGTTCTTTGTTGCTTACAGTGTCGTTTTCGAGTAGGGCACTTTGGATTTTTAGATTGCTACATGCATTAAGCAGTTGCGATGTTTTCTTTTTGGCAGTCGTCAAAAATTCTGCATCATTATCATATTTTGCCCCACCCACGACTGAGCTGTTGCATGTGATCATCCAGAAAGCTTCGCTTAAATTAGAATCATATGAGTGTCCTGAGCTTGCAGATTTCCTACATGTATAACTGATCTATCCCTGATAGATTTCTATCTGCTGAGTAACTGGTAAATTTGGTACTGATTTCCGAGCTGGCGTGCGTGCTTCCTTGCTTCCTTCAGCTCCGAATTTTTAAAACATCAGTTCAACCCTCTTTCTTCTCAAAAACTCTGGGATATATACGTGAGGTCGTCTTCTTTAGTCTTTCCTATAGATCCTTAGATTTCATCGAAAATGCATGAATTACTCATGTACCATTGTTATAAGGAAGAAGATTGTCATTAATCCAAGCTTCTTCCCTTTCAGCTCCGCAACTAATCTTTTCACAGAGTTTTCACTTTCTTGCGCCCCACATGTACTCTTACACTAGTACAGTAGCATTCTTGTCTGTTAAGACTGTTGCTCCTACTCTTTGTCTTTGTTATGTTGTACTCCATACTACAATAATCTCCAACCCAACTTGTGTTTATAAAGGGTGTACCTTGTACTATATAACAAACATTACTTGGCCTAAATTATTAAAAATGGGGTAAGGGTGGACGCTGTGGTGTATTATAAATAACTCCGATTGTATACGGATTACAAGTTTTTAATGACACCAAATCATCCAAATCTCAATTTACTAAGCGTCTATTAAGTGTTTTATATATATATATAAAAGATAAATGAAGCATAACATATATATATTACTGAAGTACTCTTCTTGCTCCGAAATAGGGAAAGAAAAAAGCAAGAAACTGTTGAATGCCATTGAGATTAGTTGTTTTATTGAAAGTTCAGCCAAATGTGGTGGAAGGTACATTGTACAATCGTACTTATACTTTGTGTTAACGTACTATGTTTTGTGTTCATAAGATTCTTGTATGTCACAAACCATATAGTTGTAATTTTTATGGCTCATATTTCAATTTGTCGTGACATAAATGTACGAATTTATGTTAATATAAGACTATATAGTATAGTAAAATGTTAGTGCTTTGTGCCCCTTTATTCCTTGTAACTGCATTGAGCACCAACTAAAAACCCATAATTGTAAAGGTGACATCCATTATCACTAACTAGTAACTTGATTCTTGCTACATACAATCATTCTTAAAGTGTTTGTTTTTCTCCCTCTCTTTCTTCTTTCTTTAGCATCTTCTTCTTTTTTTTTTCTAGTGGTTCACTAATCCAACAATTTGAATTGTTTGAGAGGACATATAATGGTGGATGGCTCTTCATGGGTCTCTTTTCGTTCTCTCGATTTCTTCTACGTTCTCCCTATATTCGAAGATTAAATCTTCGAGATCATGACTAAAGAAAAATTAACAATTGTGAATTACCTTTATGTAAAAGTGTAAGTTAGTTGGATAATGTTTTAGCAAAAACCAAGCCAAATAAGCAATTCGAAATGGATTTATTCATCTAATTTGGATCTTGGATACAATAAAAGAAAGGGAAATTCTATGTGGTGGCCTGAGGACAAACTTTTTTTCTAGTTTCTTTAGTGGCATCCTATAATTGACAAATTCATTTAAGAGGCCTAATCATCAATATATGGACTAACCACCTCTTAAATGGTCCATCATATAACCTAACTTACTTAAAAGACTAACTTATCCTTGAAATAATTAAAACCCTCCCATTTTCTTAAAGTTTGACTACTACTACTACTGTTGCTCGACATTCTAAATAGATGAAAACCTTTCATCTTCCATGAAACTCCCTCAAATCATACATCCTCTAAAATTCAACTAAAAAATCCCAAAAAAAAAATTGATTCATTTTTGCGATTTTTTTGCGAGATTAGTGATCAACTGCGGACTTTTTAATTGTGGCTATATCTCTTTGGTGGTGAAAGTTTTTGGGCTCAAAAGTTAGGGTTTTTCGACCGATTTTTTTGACGAAAGTCACGCAATCCATGAGGCTAATTGTCTAAAATTGACCTCTACATGATAACTAAGGTATTTCAATTAATTCTAGTCAAATTTTGGTTGAAGAATGATGTTAAGTGAACTCTATTGCTGAAACTAATGGTCCGTATCATTATGCTCCGTACAATTAGGCTCGAAATGTTGAGCTTGTTGCTGCAATGTAATCAGTCTTTATGCAGCAACATAAAATAACAATAAAGAAAGGGGAAGAATTTATAACATTCATAATATCGTAGAAGAACTTTATGCTTGCTTCAACAGGGCTATGAAGATTTCTGTTATTTTCTTATCAATTTGTGTTTTTATTATCTGAAGATGATGTAATTAAGTTAGATAATGTGATGTGTTGGGAGTTTTAAGAAATAAAGCTATGTATTTCAATCAAGTATAAATAAAAGTTAGTTTTAAATGAATTTGATGATATTTTCTTATCACTGCTTTACCTTGAAGTAAAAAGGTATGAATGCACACTGCTAGTTAAGAATTTCAAAGAAAAAAAATACACCATTTAGAATTGAGCAAGTTCTTAAAAAGGCAACCTTCATAACAATTGAGCAAAGTTACTGTCACCTCAAAAAACTACACCATTTAAACATAGCAAAGCTACTGCCAAATCAAAATACTAAACAAAGCTACTGTTAGTTTGTCTCAACAAAAAATTACACCAAAGTTCAGAAATTGTTTAACATATCCAATGAAAACTCAGACTTTTTTCTTCCCTTTCCCACCCCTGTTTGAAGCAGTAACAAGTTGGCTACTTGGATCTTGGGATGCAATTTGTGATGACTCTCCTGTACAAGCAGCATTTGGTGCAGATTTAGCAGCCCTCTTTTCTTTTGCCTTTGCAATCTTAGTGCCATCTGCAGCACTTCTTTCTTTGGCTGTTAATCCACCTTTACATGTCTATGAATTATGACCGTAACTCTTACATTTCTGGCACTGCACAGTTGTTGACCGTTTCCCTTTATTTGGTTCATCTGCTGCCCTTTCTCTTTGCCTTGATGGCCTACTAATACCTCTTTTCACTTGTGGTGGTAGTATAGTTGGTCTATCTATCTTTGGCCAATGCTCGTAATCAGGGATGGAGTTGATTGAATTCCCGTATGCTTGTTTGTAAATTTGCACCGAGTACCATGTACTGCAAAATTTGTATGGGTCCAATCCAGAAGACATTATTGCTCTTAGTGCATGTCTGCAAGGGAATCCTGATATTTGTCATGCCCCGCATATGCCCTGATATTTGTATGGGTCCAATACAGGTAGCATTGGTTTTCCTTCTCTCACTTCATACTCACCTTCTGTACTCTGGTAAGCTTTTCAAGTTTTTGATTCAAAAGTAAGCTTTTGTATCCTCTTCACTACATTACGGCATGGCTCATACTCATTCTAATCCTTGCATTTTCTGTCTTCTTGTTGCTAGTTTAACCATGCACATTCTTCTTATTCCTCTTACAATTGAAAATAATATGAGTTAGGTACAATATTGTAAAATAGATACATGAAACAAGTTTGAATTACAGAATATCATACCTTCCAAAAGTGTCAATACAGGCATGCATCTATCCACTCCCAAAGTGGCATTAAAACTCTACAAAATTTGTCTTGTTCTCATCACTGCAAATTTTGGGATCAAATTTATGTTTTGTCCATCTTGATTGATCCCCCAAATTAGACAACCAAACACAAGCATCTGGATTAACTTTCTGAATTCTTTCCATTGCCTTTTTAAATGTGAAAGGAGAAGTGGCACTACAAGCTAGCCAAAACAATGAATACATTGATAGGCTGCCTATTTTCATCATCATGCTGATCTACACTAGCGTGCCTACACCTAACTGCTGCATTAAACTCCTCCTCTGTGACAACCATAGCATCAATCTCTCTTTGGGTGTTAAGTAAGCCCTCCTTCCTTGTCGTGGTCTTAGGTATTTTGTGAAGGATTAAAGCTGAGCTATTTGAAACACTTAAGGAATGTAAAGGAGTAGGTGATGGCTGTTTAATTACAAGTGGTGCATTAGAGAAAGATTGTTGTTGGATAGTATTGTGTTTAGTACTAGCAAGTTCAAGCTTCCTCTTGATAGATAACTTTCTAGGTTTTACAGCTTTACCCTTACCCTTTTTTTCTCATTTTTCTAAACCATTCTCTATCTCAATGTCATTCCAGAAATGTTCTATGCTAGGAGTATACTCACAATCATTATTCACCACCAGACTCTTATTAGCAACTGATTTAGTAAGCCTTCTAGCAGCAATAACACAATCACTAGCCTTATCAACTGTACCAATCCAAACTGTTATAACTTTTCTACTACTTAGCCTATCTAACATAGACATTAAATCACTATTAGAAGTAATAACATCTTTCATGTTATAGGAGTAGTGAAAACTAGGGAATTTAGGGTAATGGTAGTTATTTTTCCGAAATCCTTCCTCACATTCAATGATCAAATCAATCCACATAACCTTGTCAACATCTTCAATAGACACATTCACTTCATTACCCATATAATTGAATTTACCATCACTTGATCCATCCGCAACAACAAAAATTTAAAGCATACACTTCAACATCACCGCACAAAGTAACACATGTTAAGCAACATAAGTATGAAATTCACTTGATACCTAATAACACTACAACAACAGAGCATGCAATTGACCTAATACCTCAATAAGTATAAAAACAACCAAAATTTGACTAGAAATTAATCGAAATACCTTTGTTATGATCTGCAGATAAATTTTAGACAATTAGCCTCCTAGATTGTGCGAATTTCATCAAAAATGAGATCATAAAACCCTAATTGTCCAACCCAAAAACCACACTACCAAAGAGATATTGCCGCAATTTAATCGTCCACAATTGATAAACAATCTCACAAAAAAATCGCACAAGTGAATCAGGTTTTTTTTTTTTTTTTTTTTTGGATTTTTTAGTTGAATATGAGAGGGTGTATACATTGTGGGAGTTTCATGGAAGATGAAAAGGTTTCATCTTTTAAGTAACAGTAGTAGACTAGTAGCAGTCAAAATTTAAGAAAATGGGAGGGATTTAATTATTTCAAGGGTAAGTTAGTCTTTTAAGTAAGTTAGGTTATATAATAGACCAATTAAGAAGTGGTTAGTCCATATATTGATGATTAGGCCACTTAAATGAATTTGTCAATTGTAGGATGCCACTAAAGAAACTAGAAAAAAGGTTTGTCCTCCATATAGATTTACTACTTCCTTGAGGCCACCACATAAAATTTCCCTAAAAGAAAAGAAGAGCAAAAAGACAAAGTCATACAATCTACAATAAATTAGTGGGAAGCCGAGATACAATCTGGGCCCCCACTCCTCTAGCTATAGCAAAGCCTACCCTATCGAAGATATAAGCTGCAGCACGAACCCCAATGTCTTGCGTTGTCGAGAACCTCTGAACCCGCTTCAACAACGCAACTGCTTCCTTCTCTAATTCCCCAAGTGAAGAAAAGGAGAAGGGAATGAAACCGTATCCAATCAGCCGACAACTAGCCTCGTACTTCACCCGCTTCCGATTAGCCGTATCAGCCACAACCCGCCCAGGAACAAAGTCAGATAGCCTTGTCTGTGTCAAAGGAGAAGACCATGTTATTATTATTATTATTATTATTATTATTATTATTATTATTATTATTATTATTATTATTATTATTATTATTATTATTATTATTATTATTATTAGTATTTATATATTTTTTTTAAAATGTTAGATACAAAAAGAGAGTAGAAACACTACCTATTTTTATTTTTTCATGTTTGTTATTATTTTCTATTTTTGTAAGTTGCGCTATATTCACTTGGACTACTATGACCAATGTTTGTGAATTGTACATAAAAGAATAAATAAGTAGGATATTGTTTATCAAAGTTCTATGTCAACATATGTGTTAAATTTCAATGGGACACTAAAATAAGAGAGCGAGTATAACTTTGTGAAAAGAAGAGTGCGTTGGTTAAAAAATAATAAAATAAATAAAATGTTAAAAGTAATTATTTTTGTAACACGTAAAATCAACATATTATATTAGTAGCTTAACTAGACCATTTGTAATATATGGCTGGTAAATGGGCTACGGAGGCTTTGTAAAACCCGTAAAGTTCTAAGAATTCACTTCAAGATTTCCTTGTATTGTACCGTTTCTGTTGTTTCCTAATTTTAGTAGTTTTTTACTTCTTTAATTTCAATAACAAATCACAAACATACACAAAAATATTACAACCAAATATGAAAAATACATGATTCAAAAGCTTTAATGGTAAATCAATGGTAGATTAAAAAAAATTAATGATACATGGCCATATTTATATATAATTATAATTACTTGGTTATTCGTATATGGTAAAATTCTATTATTAATTTGATATTCATATTAATTATGATATGTGGTGTGTTGCTATAAGTAGAATTCTATTGTCAATAAAAAAAGATAATTTTTTTTCAAAAGAATTATAAATTATTTTATATATACTTTTTTATCTTAAACAAATCTATCCAATCTAATCTAATGTGGCATCTAATCCAATTAGAATAATATCTATTTGTTGCCTACGCGGCTTGACACTTGACGAATAACTGGAATGCCAAGTGTCACTGTCTCATAGCCTGACTGCGAGATCGGCTTTATTTATTAGTGACTAGTTTTGTGTGCGGGCGATGCCCAGATGGTTGATAAAATTTTAAGATAATTTTTTTACTTTAATGTTAAATACGGTCAAATAATTCGTTCTGATAATGTAGGATATTTAGACATATGATATCATATGGCTTATATTTATATATTAATACTTTTTGTAGTTTTGTTTGTAAATAGATATCTATTGACTTGAAATTATTTTTAATGAACTTAAATTATTTTTACAGAACTGAGAGTATTTTTACCAAACTAAAATTAATTTTACAGATTCCCTAATTTTTTTTAAATAAATTAAATAACAATGCATTTTGTATGCAGCTAGCCACACCATCTAGCCGGACAAAGTAACCCTTATAAAACTGACCGAGTAACCCCTATAATACTAACTGAGTAACTTCTAACATTGACTAAATAACCCCTATCTATAATATTGATTGAGTAACCACTATAACACTGACCAAGTAACCCCTATAGCACTAATGAAGTAACTCTTGTAATAGTTGGTGACACGGTTTGGCAAGCTACGTATAAAAGTTTGTGATTAAATATATTATAAATGGATCTTATTTTAAAAAACTTTTTAAAACGAATTTAATTATGGAAATAGAATTGAGTTATAGGATATCTATTACAAGTTATGATATATTTTGTATATATGAAATATTAGAATTATATCGATAATAAAACTCTATATAATAATTGTATCTTAAAAAACCTATCCAAAAAACGCTTACTTAGCATCATACGTGTTACATTAATACCTATTTATCTCCTACTTGGCGCGACACTTGGCGAAAAATTGGAATGCCAAGTGTCGCTGTCTTGTGGCTTGGCTGCGAGACCGGCTTTATTTAGAAGTGATATGATATGATATTAGATTAGATTTAAAAGAAATTATTTTTAAAAGGTTAGATCTTGGATAGACCAAAATAAATAGGTCCAAATTATGCGAAAAATTATGAGATGTAGATATGGAGTAGCATGTTATGTCTTTATTATTGTTGTACTTTGTATATATTTTTGCATTTATGAAAAGAAATTAAGTGAATTAAACTTTATGTTAACAAAAAATGCTATCTTTGTTTCCATTTAGAATTTTAGATCCAAAGTAGAAATAGGAATTATGATTGGATTTAATCTTGATCTAGTTTGTGTTGAGCTTTGCTATCCAAGCATTAAAAAAAATAAAAAATAAAAAAAAAGAGTTTAAACTAAGAAGCAAAATCGTTGTAATGTTTTAATCTATAATATTATTAATACTCAAATGGACAACATGCTATCGCCATGTGTCACCGTTTTTTTCATATAACTTGGCACCACATGAGCACTAAGTGATTCATTACCCTAAAACTCTTCATATGTGTAACCTTTGTACTTAATTTTCCAATAATATGTAACTCCTAAATAATTGCACAATAATCTACAATTTAATTTGTAAGACATTAATCACACATTATTAATACTCAAAGGGACAACATGCTACCGCCATGTGTCACCGTTCCTTCCATATGACTTGGCGCCACATAAGCACTATGTGCCACTTTATGACTTTATGTGTCATTATTCATTACCCTGAAAATCTTCATTTGTGTAAACTTTGTACTTAATTTTCCCATAGAATGTAACTCCTAGTTAATTGCACTATAATCTATAGTTTAATTTATAAGACATTAATCACACACTAATGGTTGTTGATTCCTTGGATGCTAATTTTCTAGATTCAATACAAGTCAAACAATTATACAAAGTACTCCGTAATCATTACATAAGTTATTATTTTATTATGTAAAGTAAAATGAATAATTTTATTACGTAAAGTAAAATGAATTAATCGCAAAGGCTACATATAAATTCAGTGTATGCGGGGCCAACATACACTATGACATGGTAGCCTTTGATATGTAGGTATTTTTAAAGATTTCACTCAAATTTTAAACCAAATTTTCATATCAATTTCAAATCAAATTTGTATTTTCAATGCACAATCAATGCCCCCACATTTCCAACCACCCCATCTCTTTCCTCTCATTTTTTTTGTTTTTTGGTCAAGTTTGTCTCTTTTCTTTCTCTTCTTGTTCTTCATGTTTTTAAATTCAATTCTTTTTTTTTTCAAATTTTTTCTGTACTTTTTTTTTTTATATATATACATATATGTATAATGTGTATTATGGTTCCCGACTTATTCTCCGCCTATTATCTTTGGCTAAAATTTATTACAATTCGAATTTCAAATTTAACTGTTTCGAATTTTGCTCTCTTCTCTTTCTTGTTACGTTCTTCATGTTCTTATAAATTTTATGTAAAAATTGTTCTTCATCTATTGCTTGAAGATTTATTTGTTTTTTCATAAATTCATATGAATATACAATGTTTTGTTATACAATAAATTTTTAATTATTTGTTATTTATCTTTGTGTTACAAATTTAGTATTTGAAAAAAAAAATCATATTTTAATTTGTATGAATGTTATGTTCAAAACTAGAAAAAGGGGGGGGGGGGGGGAGGGAGGGGGGTTTATATTAGCTTCATTGTTTTGAATTTTCAAATTATTAAATTGGCTTGAAGACAAATTATGTTATATTTTCATCCCAACCATGTAGTTGTTCAATCGAAGCATACTATATTATGTGAATTGAAATTCGTTATTTTCAATGTTCTTCAATTTTTCCAGATTTTTTTTTTTTTGAAGAAGTTTTCCTAGATTTAAAACATCAAAGTATAAAATGGTTAGATAATTGACCAGTAACAGATGTTAGGCATTGGATTATTCACAATGGATTAAACTCCTTGAATTATGACGATGACATATTAATAAGAAATTAATATTCATTTTTAGCACCAAACATCAGGATTTCCTATCCATGAAACGTTTGGAGTCAATAAATTGATAATTAAAATTGAAAATAAAACAAAGGAAAAAAAATCTGGTATCTTAAAAATAAAACGGGTTGTAACGATTGTAAGTTTCTAATTTATTTAGTAACAATAGTTATTTAAATAGTATTCATTAACTATATTACAGTAACAACAATTATTTAATTAATGGCAGTGTATACTATACAAAAATATAAAGTATGAAGATGTTAACATGGTGAATATCCCGCACATTTGGTTATTGATGCAACGAACAATCGTAAGTTTTAAAACATGTTTGCAGTAGTATTAATATTAAGGAGCAAAATTTCACTTTAAAAAAAAATAACAATTGATCGAGATGTGTTATTTGTCCTT